AAGAAAATTAGTTTTAAGATTACAGTGAAAGATAAACTGAATGTTAGATATGAGAAATAACACATGTATGTTTTTTCTTGTTTAATTTCTTTATTTGTTTATTTATTCATTTACATTTACTGAATTACATTTTTTTTCTATTTATTTAATTATTGAAGAGGTTTGGTCCTCCATAAAGCAGCTCTCAGGAGACTCAGACAGGACTGTAGCTCCGATGATCCTTTTAAATTCCAATTAAACTACAGGCTTCCATTGTGATTCAGCTGTGCATCCTCTCCTCTACAGAGATTGAAAATCAAAGTCTTCAACCCTCTGAGCCTGGTACCTGAATAACCTCACCCCCCAGGGATGAGCAGCATAAGTTGTGGCTGTGGTGAATTACCTCCTGTCTAAGCAGCCAGGCAGCTGGATAGAGCTGCTAAATCACCAGATGGAGTGAGAAGTGTAATGCTGGAATTGGAAAGGAGAAGGTGAAGATTGGATGGACATGCATGTGTGTGTGAGGGTGTGTGTTTTTATCCCTCTCACTCGCTCTCTACCCATTATTTAGCAGTATTGTACCTAGTGGAGTCATTAAGCTCTTATAAGCTATCCCATAATGCCCTGCTGCTGAAACAGTCCCAAATCACAGAATGACATCAGAAGCAGGGCTGGAAATAAGTGTAGAGTGCCTGTATGTGTGTGTATATGTGTGTATGAGTGTGCCAGCTTGTGCTTGGGTCTACTCGCATATGAGCGTCCATATGTGTGTGTGTGTGTGTGTGTGTGTGTCAGTCTGACGTCAATACTCCTCCAATCCATATTTAACTATAGTGAGGAAGGCTCATAGCACCTTGTAGGTGTCTTATCTCAATGTATTTATAGACTGAACTAAACTGGGTGCCTGTGTGACAGGTGAAGTGTGCCTTTCCCTCTCTAGTCTGAAGGGAGGAAGAGGGCCAGGCTGAATTGAGGGAGTTTATTTCTGGAGTAGGACTACATGGGAATGTGTTCTGATTGAATTAGTTTTTTGGATTCAGAAGTATTTCAGAGAGGAGGGATGAAAAAATAATGAGGGATGCGCTGAAATGGGTGCATCATCACATATTAAAATAAACCTCTAAAACCTTTTTCCCCGGTTACAAGAGCAACTATAACAAAGTAGATTAGATTTTTTTATTTTTTTTCAAACCAACGTGACGTCATGAAGAGATGTTCCCTGTGCATCTATAATTTAACTAAACAGCACAAAAAAGAGTAAGTAGTCTAAAACACAAATCGGAAACACCAGGTGAATGCAATGAGGCCAGAAGTTATGTGTCTTTAAGTGTCATAATGTTCACATTTTTTCTAAGCTGAACGACCTCTTCCCATTGGTTTTGCTATTTCTGTTGCTCACTCCTCCCACGTCCGTGTGGTGACGACTGCCTGCTACAGCTGTATCCACTCTATCTGGGAAGTCTCCTTTTATTGTGCAATATTCATTCATGTAAGACTGAGAATTTCAATTTGTTCTCATAATTGAATGACCCACGCCTGCCAATCAATTAGCCGCCCCAGGAGAACAACACTGGAGGTGGTACCACATCTGAATCTTCATGTCCCTCGTCATGGCAGCAAGGATTCATTTAATGATACTATAATTATAGCTTTATATATATAGAAAATATTATTTTATTATTATTATTTCTGTTTGGTTTTACCTTTACTATACTTTAAATTCTACTGTACCCATAAGCCTCAGCTGCTGGAAGAAGCCAGACAGAATGAATAGCACCTATATCAAATTCAGAGGGCTTCGTCTTTGCAACTGGAACGAAAACACTGCATCAGTGTTGAATTCTTCCAGCACTGACCCAGAATCCAAAAGTAAATTGATCTAAAATGCAAAATCAATTATTAACAGGAGTCTACAAAACATAAACTCAAGCTTTAACTTGCCATTAGAGGCGCAGGCAACATCATTTTAAGTTAGTAGTTGTAGTCAACTTACCTCATATTTTTCATGTATACAGGCCTACACCTTTCACTTTTCAACCAGTAAGTCTGATTATTATCTTATATCTTATTATTTTCATATTTTTCACAGTCAATTTACTCAGGAAAGCTTAATTATCATGCTCCAGCCTGTGCAGAAGATGATCTACAGGTTTGTTTACAGAACCCTGAAAACCCCAAATATCTTCCCCCTCTCATGCTCCATTGGCTAACACTGCTCAGTTTGCCATCAAAATGTTATGACCTTATAAAAATGGAGCTGCCAGTAATTACACTTACATAATCAGGAGTTTAGTGAGGTGCTACAAGGACAAAATATTTATACAAAGATGCTTCATGCATTAGCATTAGCAGAATCGCTGTGTATGAACTTTAACCCCCTTTGCCGAGCTGACACACATTTGAAACAGTGGGAATAAACATGTTATTGTGTTGCATTAGATCATTTCTTGTTGGAGTGTGTACATCTTTGGTTGTATTTAAATAGAAAGTGTATAGATTGGTCAGCAGATTGGCGAGGGAGAAAAAAAACAAATAAAAGGACATAGTGAATCGTATTTATGCACCATGAATGATTGAATGATACTCTAATGCTGTTTAATGAAACTTGCCTCATTGTATTTGTATGGTGTAAAGCACTCTCAGCAATTTAAAAGCCCTGTTCTATAAAAGTCTAATCATCACTAACGTCACATCGTGGATACACCACACCACACAGAGAGAATGTGCAGATTACGTCGTCAATGATGTAGTTTCGTATTTTTGAATATTTGATAAGCCTTGGGGAAGAAGCAAGCACTGCATAATTGATTTTATATTATAAAAAGAAAGTCTAAACGCTAAAATGTGGTAAAGTCCATTTCTGTGCTGACGTGTGGACCACACCGAACATCAATATTCTCTTTGAGAAAGTAAATAATGCATGAAATCGTTCATCATAGAAAGACAATTTCAGAGAGAGTGCAGTGGTAGAAGAGTGCATTCTTCTTTCACACATCAATGATGTTGGTTCAAATTATTTTCCATCAGTACAAATCAAATATCAGTCACTGTGAGTGGACTGGGGATAGAAATGGCAAATTACCTCAAGGCGTGCTCTAACAATAACAAATGCAGCGAGCCGGTCGATTGAAAGTTATTTGAAGTCTGTGAAGTAAGTCAATAAAAGTGTGTGTTTGTGTCTTAGAGAGATAACAAAAAGTTTCTGACAGGAAATCAAACTCCTTTACATTTTTCTATAAAAACACAAATGAACTGAGCAATTCCAGTTTAGAGTCAGAATGACAAGACACTGAAACCATAACTGCTAATATGAGCATTGATGGATTGCTAAACCCAGCAACTGTACCTGTTATTAAAGTCCCCAGAACTGTGCCTGTTATGAAATTGGAAAGTTTCTCTGTGCTCAGTGGGGCCTATGATCATGATTTGTGACATTGCAAATAGTTTGGAAGTCAGTCCTGGTCCAGTATGCAACTTGTACAGTATGATGTAGAAACCTGAAGCCACTGAGAATGAACTTTACAGTAAAGTAGGAGACATTTTGTGTCCAGCAGGAAAACTTTAGAAATTAATGAAATTTGCTTCAAATTCTTCCTTCCTGCCAACGGCTAGGTCAAAAATCTGGGATGTGTTAGCAGCTAATGTAGCGTTGAGCTAGCTTCAAGCAGAAATGGAGCCAACAGAGGTCTGGTGAGCTCACATATTTCTAACGCCATACCCACAAATATTTTTCATTTGAACATGTAGTCTTCAGCCCCAACTGACTCCAATGACATCACTTGAGGCAATTTGTCAGACTACACACATCTACTTCATAAAAGCCTTTAAACAACATTTTTAACATATGCAGTAGTATGCCCAAACACCTATAGACAGTCTTTGATGTGTAAAATAAGTGAACATACCATTTAGCAAATTTCTTGGCCACTTGGGGGCAGCAGATACATGTCATAAACACACCAATGACATATTATCTCCTTTAAAGTTTATAATACAAACTGGTTAGCAAAAAGGTGCCTATTTAGTATTTACACATCCATAAGCTACAGAGCAACGTTATCATTCATATGGATTTGTATTTCTGGCCATCTGGGTCCTATATTGACACTTTTTTTAGCTCTGTTTTTGTTTTTTGGTCCTGGGCAGGTCATGCACAGTTGGTTAATCAGGTTTATTTTGGTGTAAATGGCGGGTGATGATTCTTTGTGGGTTTGTCACTGTGAGCAACTTTTGTAATACAAAAGACATATTGATTGTAGCAGCTTTAAGTTCAGGATCCTTTTTCAACCAAAAGCTCACATTTAGAGAACAAAATAATGTGCAGGGTGGTGGGGGCTGTTTGGATAGGTAGGAAGGGGTTATGTGTCTATGCCCAGGGGCCCATTGTTTCATAATCAGTCCATGCATTTGGGAGATATATATCACAACCATATCTGTTAAATAAGACGTCATTGAAAGTGGAACAGGGTGTGAGATACTTTATTGGGGTTTAGGGTTGATGTGACTGCAGGATCTAAGCTCAGAGAATTGACCACCACTTCCTTTGCTGTTTTCCTCTGTCTCAGTTCCCCCCACCACACAAACACACACAAATCCACACTGGTACTGCCGTCATTCAGGCTCTAATAGGCTGAGTGAGGGCTGACGTTGGTGTTATGTGGAAGAGAAGTTTGAGGGGGAGAGAGGCGGGGAGGGGAGGAGAGAGAGGAAAGTGGGGAGAAGGGAGCTGACAAACAGAGACGGTGCGAAAGGGAGAACAAAAATTGTTTATTATCAGATATTGTCTGTGTAATTATCTCCTCCTTCCCTTTGAATAACTTTTCATTGGTCGCTAGATTACAACTAAAAATAACAACCTACTGTATTCCCTTCATGCTGCACTCAAACCACTAAGAGACTTTGGGACAGAGGAGGAAATATTACACCCTCTCCCTCTTCCTCTCCTTCTTCGCCCTCCCACCCTTGCCTCCTACGCCATCTCTGTGCCCGCCCTCCAACTCCAGCTCTCCTCCGATCCCTCTCTTCCTCGCCCTCGCTGGGTTTCACTTGGAGGACATGGTGTAGCAGCCGTGTGGGTGCCACTGCATGTCACGGATGCGCCTCATGGACTGCATCTGGGGGCAGCGGGCTCCATACTCATTGAAATGCCTGTATTCGCCCTTCTCCAGCAGGTACTGGCTGCCACGGTAGCCGGGGAACTGGTAACCCACCCAGCTGGGGAGAGGGGGGGAAGAGCAGAGGGGGGAGGACATTTACATTTACATACACTAAAGTGGACATGTATTGCAAGGTTGTAGCAGTACAGAAAGTGATGGTTGGGTAGGTATGGAAACTGATTCAAGAAAAACAAGGTTGAAAGATGAGTAACAGACATAAAATGTGAAGGAAATTTGCTAGAACAACAGACGGAGACAAATCAGGGAGGACAAACATCTAATAAAGACATTGATCTGTTTGTCATGCTGTCAGGTAACAAAACCACTGTGCAGCCTGCCTCCCAGCTGTTTCTTTCAGGCAGCGAGGAGCAGTACAAATGAAGTAATCACAGCATTTCAAAAACAGCCTCTGTTGCCTGCCACACCTCTGACACAGACACTGAGCTGCTGACGTCTGTTGGCTCAATTTAGTGTACAGACATGATAGTGCTATAGTGCTATTAATCTTCTCATCTAAGTCTTGGCGAGAGAAGGAATACGTGTATTTCCCACAAACCGCAAGCAACTCTTTCATAAAAGATGAGAAAGTGCTAGTAATGTTGTCGCCATACTCACGTTCCACAGCTGACCATGATGCTGCCAACTCTGTCGGTGAAACCATAGGAGAACAGGCTGGGGACGTCATCGTCCATGATCTCCATCTTACGACCCTTGAACTCTCCGACCTCATACAGGCAGATCTTGTGCTTCTCAGGGTCCTAGAAGTTGGCGGGGAAAGCGGTTGAAATGAGAAGAAAAGCAGAGCTAACTAGGTGTATGGATACAAGCTGCCAAAGTCAGGAAAGTATTTTGTTGACGGGGGTTTACCATGCGGACGGGCCTGAAGGACAGCAGGTAGTCATTCTTCTGGCAGTTGCTCCAGGAGTCCCAGCGGGGGTACTCACCCTTCTCCAGGATGAACATCTCACCGCAGAAGTTCATCTGCTCCCAGCCCACGAAGCTGGGGAGGGGAGGAAAGGTCACGAGGACGAGAGGGAAGAGAGGTGATGAGCTTTAAGCGTGATGTACGGTTGTTGTATTGCCTTCTAAGGGAGCACTGATTTTACGCATGAAGATCAATTTAGTCATCATGAAGAGCACTACTCAGCTTCCAAAAACAAAAGTTGTACAAGCTTTCCAAAGTTTGAGAAACAACCCTGATGACGCTGTCAGTGTAAGTCAGAAAATCTCAGCCTCTGCTGCTTCGATTTTGACCATTTGTGGATGTAGGGGGACATCCAGTGATTTAGTGTTGCACAATTGCAATACAAAATCACTGGATGTCCCCTTTAGGTGCTGTATAATGGACATGCTTTGAGGAATCATTTTTCGCTGCTCTATTTGCTCTTACTTTTGAAAAAGACTTTCTCCTCATCTCCTTCTTTTTATTTTCTTCAATTATATCATTGCTCCACATCGTTAGGTGACCATTCATTCCAGTCAAAACTGTTTGTTGCTATGTTATATTACTAGTTTAGACACTGAAGTTCAATCTACTGCTGCACTCTCTGCAAATCACTCGGGATAAAAGCATTATCCAAATGCCTAAAATGTGAAGTGTGAAATGTCACATAATGGTGGGGTACAATTCTGAAATCACCTGCTCTGCGCTCAGAAGAGTGTGGGTGCTGGGTACATTATAGGCACTTGCATGTGTGTGTGGGTGGGTGGGTGTGTGCGTGCGTGCAGCTGTACATGCACAAGCTACTTACGGGCCACAGTCGACGCGCAGGGAGCGCACCCTATCCATTCCCATGTCACAGACATTCATACACTCAGCGTTGATCTCAATACAGCGGCCCTGGAAGTTCTCCTGGTCATACACACACATCTGGATATTTGTGGTAAAGGAGAGAGAAAGAGAATGGGAGTGAGAGAGGAGGTCACAGAGGTGGTTTCAAAGTCAAGGGCAACATCTGCGGAAAGTCAGAATACTATGGAAAGACTGTGGTAGAAGATTGTAAGTGGCCAAACAAGAGAGAGGCAGAGTAAAATGAAGTTGCTGTGTTGTTATGATTATCCCCTGTGACTTAACGCATACTAGCCTCACATGGTATTTTAGGGCCAGTTGTAGTTGTTGACCGCCCACTCACTGAGCTGTAACCAGCAGGTCGTGATAATAAACATCAGCTCAGAAGGTAAACTGTTACAGAGGCCAGCTGCTTCACATAGTGTGAAAAACACTGTATGATATATTTGCAGATGTGTGATCATCTGGTGTGCATACATGTGGTGTGTGTGTGTGTGTGTTTGTGTGTGTGTGTATGTGTACTGTACCTTGTAGGACATCATGCCCATCTCAGACATCTTGTTCTGAGCCGCCTTCCCATCAGTCTGGGAAGCAGACTTGGATTTCTCTCCAGACATGATGACTGAGAAGAAAAGAAAAGATGCTTTGAATCACTGTTTATCAGCTGTCTTTTACTGTCCTACTAAGGGACTGTGTGAATTATTGGGGTGAGGGGGGTAAACATTAAACAACTTTTTTAAAGCAAATCCCTCTATAGTTATATTAATATTTTCTTTGAGAACAAACTGTTACACCCTCTCCTTAATAGCTCTAATAAATAATACAACACAATATCTCAATAAAATAACAATTCAGTTAGTTGGTTATTAACTGAAACTGCATGTAGAATTTAAGATGTGCACTCCAATTTAAATAATAGATATTAAATAAATGAATAACCAAAAAATACAAATAAACCTCCCCCTTTCCCAACCCACCCTTAATATTTTTTGTACAATTCCTGACATTGAAATCAGTTCTTAACTTAATCACACAAATTACTATCTTGTTAACATTTTGCATCAAAAACCATCAACATTACCTAAGTCCTCGGTACAAAACAAAATGAAGTAAGTATTACTTACAGACGTTCATTCTTTGCAAATCACCAAAACAAACATTTTTAAATTAAACATATTAACTTTTTTTTTGTTAGCCTGAAATCTTTTTGAGGTTTGAACCTGAAATTAAAAACAGAACACTCTGGCAATTTAAGTGCTGTGTTTGTGGAACCAACCTGACTAGATTCAAGCATTATATTTAGCACAGTTTCTACTGACGTAAACAGGCCACGGTGCATTTATTGTCCACTATTATTCATTTACGCGAAACACATATCTTGAGCTCAAACTATGATAACATTTTCTTATTTTTAGGTATTACATCAGGTTATTCTTGCTCTCTACCTCCTGCCTTTCTTTTCTTTTCTCGTTCTGTAAGATGTTTGTCCACTGTCTTACCTGTGGCAGTGTGTGCGTAAAGGAGTAGACTCGGGGCTGAGACTGGTAGTCTGTGTGAGAGTGCGCCAGGCCCTCGACGCTTTTATATGCTGGCGCCCAGAGAGAGGGGATTATAGACAGAGAAACAAACTCGCTGAGCTCACAGCCCCCACAGAATAGAAATACCCCCATCATCAAAGAGAGAGAGAGAGGCAGAGAGAGAGGGAGAGAGAGGAACAGTGGGTCAGAAAGGGAGGCAGTGAAATATAGGTTGAAACAAGAGACAAACTGACAATCAATGTATATTTGGCCCCAGGGGAGGCAAATTAACATAATAACTTGATGTTGACATAAATTAAGAATCTAACAAGAGAGTGCAGTCAGTTTAAAGTGAGACTTTTACTTTTTCTGCAGTGAGATGTTACATGCAAAGTCTTTTTCTAAGGCCATAGCCCCAATAGGAGCTTCATAATATTAATACCCAGGCTGACCAGGTTCACATTTAACGGCCTGTCACAGAATTCTTTGCTCCCATTCCCTCCACTGCTGTAATCAAGAGGCACTGGGACAAATAATAACAGGAAAAAGCAATAAGCTGTAAGAAGCAATAACCTGGCTGTTCCACCTCTGGGCAAACAAAGTGGTTCAGAGTGTGCACGGACAATAATCTGAATCTCTCTCCTCATCACAGTGGGAGTCGGAGAAAGCTATTAAATTAAAGCCCTTTGTCTTTTTCCTTGTGTGGGAGGGTGAAATATTGTTGTGGGTGTTAGCTGCAAGAGGGAAGTCCATGAGATGCGAATTCCAAAGTGCTCATGAGGGAACAAGCAAACTGGTCGATTGTGGCTGCGCAGGCCGGGTCACGTGTCGTGTGACATCACGGTTTCACATGTCCTGATGAGGACAGGAAGGGCCGCAGCTGTTCACCAGATGAGGTGAAACTGATCATATTGTGGATTCAGTGGCCGGCCTCATTAATCCTGCAGATTTGAATATCCTCAAATGCTCACATCAGTGAAAGGTCACATGGAGCGCAGTGTGAAGGGGTGAATCACACACTTACCCCCCCTCAGTGACTGCTGAGAGTCACATTAATGTAGAAAAAAAAGGGGAAGTGTCCGACAGCGAGGGGAAATTAAGTGAGCACCCAGGGGCAGGTCTCTAATTTATGCATCCTCGTCTGCCTGTTCTCCGTCCTGTAGTGGAGACTGGAGGACAGACTCAGGTCCTACACCTTGGACTGGATTCAGTGACTGGATCAGTCAGGGTCCACCATCCAAAAGGACATTCAAGCTGACAAACCACTTCTCAGAGCAGATGAAGAAAAATGAGTGAGGATACACATCACAGATCAAAGCATAAGCAGGGGATGTGTAGAAGAACATATATTTTTAACCAACAATAAAGAATGCATTCTGTTATCAGAGAACTTGATTTTATTTGATTCAAAAGGACCAGTGTGTAACAAACTGAAACCCCTACAGTGGCCTGAAGATTGTGAAAAACAAGACAGGCGCTATCGAGAGCTAGTCCTCGGTTGGTCCGGTCTGGCCTTAAACATGCCGGTTCAATATGGCTCATTCTAAGGAAAACGATCGAACAATTCTTATTTTCAGGTAAGCAAACCGACTTCTGAAAATGATGTTTGTTTTAAGAGAAACCAAAATGCCAGCATAAAGTAGTTTACATGATAATTCACACTGTAGCATGAGAACACACAGATCATATAAAACATCAACCTTACATGAATGAACAGACGTAAAAGAAGTGATGTCCTTACCTTAAAGCAGTAACTGATTTAAGGATCTGTAAGTAGCTAACTTTGAGCCCTTGGATTTCATTTATTAATGAACTTTAGAGACTTTCCAAACTTTTCCAGGCCTTTCTGGACAGGATGAGAAGTTATGAAATCAGTCAGAAATATAACATTTGCAACGCGGCAGGAAAACTATCTTTTATAGTTTCTTCCCTGCAAGAATATCCTTGGAATCAAGCTATAGGGCTGTACATTTTCACATCTGGCACAGCTGGAAACATGACAAGAACATGACGTCATCATTTTACTTTGGGGCCCAACTGTATTTGTAGGTGATTTTTAGGGCAATATAAGCCACAAAATCTGTATCAGTCCCTTTTATAAAACCAGGCCATACATGCTGGACTGCAGTAATAACTGCAGCCAATAAAATGTCAATGACATGTTGTCTGAAATGTCTGATGTAACTCAGAAATACACCTTCAATTCAATAAAGCCTGATGGATTTTCCCTCACACAGTCCAGAAAGATATAGCAGTTCATTGTTCCTGTGTTGACATTTTATGTTTTGCCTTTCATATAGAGGCATATAGCACAACATCTGTTTATCCATCAATACATCAACCCATAACACTAAGAATATGTAATACAACAAAGTGCAGCATCCTGATGGTGCCCTTGCTATTACGTATATCACTATTAGATTTATTAAGTCAAAGACTGTCTTCTGTGGAGTAGTTCATATTCAGAGAGGGACAAGACATCTGCTCACCATGTACATAAATGTTTCATTATAAACTAATGAAGAGAGGTGGTGAAGCTGGAGGTTCACTTCCCAGAGTCTGTTGTGTGAATGGTGGCGGAGTGATGGCCACTGCCCTTGTGTGTCTGTCACTGAGAGGAACTTGGTGCCTCTTCATGTGCTCTCTAGATGAAATTTCAAGGGCCAAGGACCAGATGAGATGATGTGAGGTGGGGACGCGGGGGTTGGGGTTGCTGTGGCAACTGTGGCCCGTTGCCGATTAAAGTGATGGACTGGGTAGGGGGATTGAATTAAAACATCAGAGCAAAAATGTTCTGAAGACGGACACTGATGCAGCTTCATTGTGGCAGGATTTCAAATGTTATTGTTATATTGTTCAGTGTTTCTGTGTGTTTAAGACAAACTCTCTTCAGCCATTTTCTAGATATGAAGGCTATTACCATACTGTTACTGTGGATTATTATCATCATTAATTGAATTCCTCTGTCCCAATTTCCTCGACTTTTGGGAGTCATCATTGAAACATGTTCCCGGATGGCTCTCCAAATCCTTCTCATTCTCTGCCTATAGCCCCGGCCATTGTTGCTCTATACGATGGCACTGCTGACCTATACGAATAGACCAACAACAGCCCCGCATTCCCCCCCCCCCTCACCTCTGTGCCTGCCTCTATATGATCTGCTGAGTCGACAGGCCGCATAGGGTTACAAAGACAGAGAGAGAGAGACAGTGGGAGAGAAAGAGAGAGAGAGAGAGTGGGGACGCGCGCCGGGCGGCCGGCTCACCGGCACGCGCGCACAAAACGCTTTTTACGCACAAACATGAGCACAGAGGAGCGCACGTGAGGGTCACTCTCACTCTCACCTGCGTCACGTTAATCACAATTAGACAGGAGAACACCGGAACTCTTCTTCCATCTGCCTTCAAAATAAGAGTCTTAATAGTTCAGAAGTGAGCTCCCAAGTAGAGCTGCAACTAATTATTGTTGTCATTATTGATTAAGTGCAAGGTCTAACATTATGTAACATGAATACTGGACTGCCATAGGAATGCTCACTCAAACTCTGACGCATTTCACTATTGGTAACAATCTGTCCACTTTAGGCCCTTGATTAATCAGTTAATTGTTTAGTCTATAAAATTAGTTTACACATACTTTATGAGTTATACATCTACTAAAAGCAACAAATTCTCACATTGAAGAAGTTGGCATCATTGATATTTTGCTCCAAATTTACTCATCAGTCATTATCAATTAGTCTAATTGACTAAGCTAATCTTTTTAGCTGTAGTTACATTTTTATGAATCATTGCTCGTGGAACAGTTAATTTGAGGCCAAAACAAAAATCTGACAACTTAACAATCACAAATATATTTGTGTGATTATGTTTTCCATTTTTAACTTCTTACTGTGCATTATTTCGAATGATCACTGTACAAAACACAGTTCAATAGACCTTAATTTTGAAGTCTCTGACCGGAAGTATCATCCTAAATTCGGGCGAGCGTCACACTTGACAAACTCGCCTCGTTCACACCATCAGCATGGAGGGGCATCACGCGCACACGCGCAAGCACGAGCTTCTCGCGTGGACGCCGGTATAAAACAGAAGCGCCAGGTTCAGACAAAAGTCCACGTGAAGAGGATTTGGTTGGTGAGGAGCGCGAGGAGAGCATCCAGGTAAGCAGGAGCGGGAAAGTGACTGACAGAAGTTTCCCACGGGACGGATTCAATGTTTGTGCTAGTTGTTTATGAAGACCGTGTTGGCTGTATAAGTTCAATTCTTAATCGATAGAGAGGAAACAATGTCAGTTAGTTAAATTAAATTAAAGTTCACTTAAAGAAACCGCTTTTTCCTCGTTGTCCAATGAATCAGAATGTGCTCATACTATTACCATTACTGTTTGTACTCCTCTCATCCATCTGCTAATGTTTTTCTTGTTTTTTCTATTTTGCTTTAGAAATGAATAGATACGCTAGAACCCACATGACCTCACCCATGTACTTCCCTGGCATGGGTACAGCCCCTTGCTTCAAGGTGAACACACACACACACACACACACACACACACTCATAAACACATGTTTACAGTACACATGTATAATGCCTCCCCCCTGTCTCCCCCTGTGTGCAGGTGACTGTGTTTGAGCGGGAGTATTTCCAGGGCAAGTGTATGGAGTTCACCTCCGAGTGCTGCAACATCCACGAATGCGGCCTGGACAACATCCGCTCCATCCGAGTGGAGAGTGGAGCGTGAGTCACACAGCCTGTACGCCTGCAAGTCTCTGTGGACAGTGGACTGACTGTGTGTGTGTGTGTGTGTGTGTGTGTTTATGTAAGTGTTTGTCTGTGAGACCGAGGTAGAGAGATAATGAGAGAGGAAGTAACATCCAGGCTCCCACTAAAGCATGTCACCTCTGAGGTAACTGTGTCCTACAAATAGGGCGCACCCAGCATGAGCGGCAGGCAGGAGATCGTCTTCTTTCTGCCACAGCTTTCTTTTTCAGATGAAATGCTGGGAAAAGAGTTTTTATCTCCATCTTTTAGCCAATCTGAAAGCTCTTTATACTGCAGAGTTTCACCTGTGGTCAGCAGTTATCATTGGTCAGCAGTGGCTAATTTCAGGTCACATGAGTGTTTTTATCCCTTTGATAAAATGGTCTGAGACAGTGTATGAGAGAAAAAAAGCCACAATCCCTGTGATGGATGCAATACTGTGTCAATACTGTTATATTTCTGTGGTCCAGGTTTCTCACTGCTTGCTAACTTCCCATCTCTGAAATGTTTTTTTTCTTGAAATCATTAAATATTCCTGTTTGAATAAGCAAGAATCAAAGGTAAAGTTTTGAAGAAACATCCCGGGGTGTTATTTATTAAGAGTGTAACCCCTGTGTGTGTGTTTGACCAGATCTGAGTGACACAATCATTACACTTTGATTCAAATGTTGTCACACTCTCATTGGTACGTGGAAGTGTGTGACGGCACTGCCAAAGAACATGAATACAGAAAACTAAAACTGTTTCTCATTAATCATCCCTCCAACAGCCTTCAGCAGGCATCAGGGCAATATAATAAGATATTTACCCAAGACAATAATTATGTTGACACAATATCAGATATACTGCCTGTAATTATACTTAATAACAAAAAAAACTAAACAAAAAAATAGTTTCTTTCAGTTTTAGGAGTGATAAATGTCGGCTTCAAATAGATGGTTATGTACTCATTGTTTTCAAGAACTAATTTAATTTCTTCACCTTTGGGAATGAATAATAATGTAACTGTATTTTTTTTATAAATTATAAAGTATTTCATGTGAACATTAGAACATTATGACTCTACGGTTCTTAATTCTACTAAAAGTACAAACAATTGTGAGAACTTTACTGTTTTCACAGATTACCATTATCTCTGTATACTGAGGAGGAAAATACAATCCCTGAATACCAAGTATTACACAATCCCTGAATACTACAATCAAATGAGCAACCGGGACAGTTTGGAAGTTGCCTGTGTACACTCTGTCCTCTTCAGTTCAGCTGACACACTGTGCTGCCCTGCTTGTGTTTTTTTAAATGGTGGATACAATGCGGGAATGTTATATGTAACTAATTAAAACAACTTCATGCACCCGCCCATCATCCTCTTAATGAGGTGCACTGTTTCCTGCGACCACTAGAAGGACAAGACTGGTTTCATGTTCCAGCTGCTGACTCTCTCCTTTTACTCCTCTCACCCCGTCTAATGTCACCTATCTGTTTTATGTTCACACTGATTATCAAACATTAACCTTTTTACTCACCTGTTTGACTACTTCACCTTGTTCTTCCACTCGTGTGTCCAGTTGGGTGGGTTACGAGCACCATGACTTCCAGGGCCAGCAGTTCATCCTGGAGAGGGGCGAGTACCCCAACTGGGACGCCTACAGCGGCTCCCTGTCCTACCACACCGAGCGCTTCATGTCCTTCCGCCCCATCTACTGCGCCGTGAGTACCTGCAGAGCATGACGAGTGGCAGTGATAGTGAGGGGAGGGAGGGAGGGAGTGAAACAGAAATGAGACAACTCTGTGCTTCTGTCTTACGTCTGTCTGACAGGCCTAACGCTAACTTTAACACCAATCCCCTCCACAGTCTCACCAGAGCAGCCGTATGATGATCTTCGAGAGGGAGAACTTCATGGGCCGCTGCAGCGAGCTGTGCGACGACTACCCCTCCCTGCAGGCCATGGGCTGGTTCAGGCCTGAGGTGGGCTCCATGCACGTGCAGTGCGGAGCGTAAGTCAGTGCTTCATCCCAACACGTTCCAGCGCTTTATTATAAAGAATTTCCAGAGGGCTTCAAAGAGGAAAAATGAAGTAGGGAGTAGAGTAGAAAAAACACATTCAGTACTGAAGAATTAAACAGACATCCATGGTGTAGTTTATCAGTTCAGACAAAACTGACTTGCAATCAATCACATACATCAATATTTGCTTGGAAAAGCCAAATGAAGATATTTGAACTAAAACACATTATTGTGGCACATATAATTAGTAAAGCATTTAATAGAAATGTGTAAAGTTGGCATTACAAGTTGTTTTATTTCCAAATGTTATTTATTCTTAGTAATACTTTAAATTGAATTTCAGCCTATCATGTAGTCTAAAATATTAGCGGATCATTAAATATGTGTTCATCTGTTTTTTTTAAGTGTTATTTTTAAAATTAATATAAATGAATGTGACACCAAACTGGGGTGGCACTTTGGGTGGCCAGGCATCTTTTGCAACCCATCTAGATCTGCCCCTGGCTCTTTTAAATTTCCATTTCTCTTTTTTTTCTTTAGTGCACCTCATTTCCTCCTCTCCGCTAATGCTAAATTCCACTTCTAAAAAGTCCCAAAAGCTGTCCAGCAGTGTGCCCCTCTTTCCACCCCTGTCCCAGCAGCTGGATCACCCTTCTGTTCAGTGAAATATTAAAAACCATGATGCAGTTATTCTCAGCCAGCCCAGCAGCATGGCTCTAGGGATGCCAATGTGAATTGGTCCACTGGTTTGGTCCTGACTGAAATATCTCAACAACTACTAAATACTAGATTGCCATGATTATTTAAATGTTTCCCTTTTCAAATATTGCTGTTCGTCTCAGAAATACAGTGTCACTCTAATTTGAATGTTTTCCCCAATGGTGGTTAAATCGAATAGCACCTGGAGAATTTCTTCATTTAAAGCAAGACGTAGAAATGTAACTGTAGCTCTTCTCACTTACTCACTTTCCATCCTCCTCCTGTCTTTCTTCAGCTTTGTGTGCTATGAGTACCCGGGCTACAGAGGCCAGCAGTACATCATGGAGTGTGAAAGACACAGCGGAGACTACCAGCACTGGAAGAACTGGGGCTCCCACTGCCAGACTCCAAAGATCCAGTCCATCAGACGCATCAGGCACTGAGAAGAGACAGATTAGGACAGGCAACAGTGTCGGCTCGGGCTAACACCTGGGCGCTGTGCTTTAGGGGCCTGACTATGAGCCAAAGAGCCTGAACTTTGGTTTGGTTCTGAGTTTAAGGCTTCATTTACAACACAAACCATCAGTGACGTAGCAGCTACCTCTTTATCCCAGCTCATATTCCTATTTCTGTTCATGCTCATTTTGTCTTAGTACAAGTGAAATAAAGTTCAGATTGAGAAGCGGACCAGTTCTTTCTGTAATTTCCTGTGTTGAGTGGACGTATGCAGAGAGGATGTTTGGCATTGTTTCATCTGGGAGTGAACGCTGCACAAACAGCACTAACAATGTGTACATTTACACTACATACATTTACAAAATACATTTACTGCAGTGCAGAAGTTCAAATGTAATGTTCTGTCATAATGTTTAGAGTATTTATTATTTGGGGACACTTTTAGTCCAGGGCCCATATTTATTGAGCATCTGATAATCCCTGCAGAAGCATGGAAAAAATGACTCAAAAGTGATACAGTTTAATTACCATTACCATTAATACAACTTAGTGTTCATAATAACCTGATATTATAATGCATCAGTAATTTACCATTTGAAAGTGAAGGCTGTAAACTGTAAATTAGTTACGTAAAATTTGTGACACTTTTACACTGAAATGTGTTTTCTTTTTTTTAATATTTCTACCTTTACACAAGCAAAGTACCTACTTTAAAGTTTCCATGGTGATAAGTGCCTGGCTGTCACAACGGCCATAATATAAAGTCAGTGACTATAGCATCACACCACCCACCAGTCAAGACAAACACAATGACAGACAGCAGTAGGTAAGTTCAGCACAATCTTTAGTTGAATGTACAGGTGTAATTAAGAGAGAAGTACAAAGTGTTTTCCTGAACACATCAACAAAGAGTTTCACATGACATTACATAAATTAACACCGTCATAGAGATCAGTGCAACACTGCGTACCACTGGCATCAGCTCACTGAAACATTAGGAGTTATTTTTCATTACAAAAGAGAACTGTTGGGGGCGCTCACCTGGGAGTCTGACATGTGGGCTTTTGCTGCGTGTCACTCTCACTCTTTCTCCCCCTTTCCTGTTGTTCCTGTCCTGTCCAGTAAAGGCAAAAAAGCCCCCCCAAAAATAAACTATACAAACTCTGGGTACCGAACCTACAATATACAGGAAGGTTTGACCATCAGTATGAAAACATGACAGCTTGCAGTCCTGACATAACTGTTAGTTACTTTTGTTTAAATGCTGCCTGGATCAAACCAACTCAAACTAAAAATATAAAAAGTGTGATGAAGCCAGGTTGTTTCCAACATGACATAACTTTACAAACTTTACATGCACAGAAAAACAAAAGACATGTCAGGAAACAGAGTGATAAGAAAGCACAGCAGAGTGACATACTGTACAGGTTTTGTATATAATGACATCTGTGTTCTCGCAATCACTAAATCGTCCAATAGCAGGTCTCCAAACTTGCCAACTGGTTGTGATTAATACGCCTGTTTTACTGCAGACACTTTGACTTAAGCACAGGTGTTACTGATAACATTAACAATGGCTCTGTTCTATTCAAGTGTCTCAGTCAGGCTTGACAGTGAGCCAGCACACACAACACCAGGACCCTGAAACTGAAGCAGCTAAACAAAATTCAGCAGCCATTCACTGTATTATTTTCTTCACCTGTTTCTCCTGCTTTGATGTGGAAAAGACCGAGTAGGCCTTGGTTTCAGCAAAAACAAAGCTGTTTTTGAATCATGACAATATCTCCAATATTATATATATATATGTATCACATTTTAATACTTAAACAAATACAACTGTTACAAAACCTTTTTAAGGGTTTTAAGGACATGATGACACCCTGATATGTGTTCAGTTTCAAGGCAACTGACCTTGTTTGCTTGATATGTTATTTTGTGTACCAGCTCTTGGCTAAATAGTTAGTCACTGCTGTTTTTTAGCCACGCTAGCGGTATGAATCTGAATCTGAATGGCTGGATGTCTACCACTTTGGTCCACACAGAAATATCTCAACCTCTATAGGACAGATTGCTGTGGAATTCTGTACAGATATTTATGGTCCCCAGGCGGTGAATCCTAATGACTCAGCAGCTTGACATTTATGATTCTGAGTTAAATGTCTGAATGTGAATCTGACTTTGAGATGAATTGCCATCAGATTTGGTACAGACTGACTTTCATCCATCACCTTAGATTATCCAATGCTTTGGTTTATGCCCAAATACCTGCAGACAAGGACATACCCATTAGCCTCAGAGATACTTTGTGTTTAGTGCTATTTAGCACATATCAGAGATACTGAACATGGTAAACATTATACCTGCTAAACATCAACATGTTAACATAGTTACTGTGAGCATGTTAACAGCTGACGTTAGCAGATCACGGTCCCTAGGTGGAGCTAGCGTGGCTGTATACTATTGTATTATATTGTTTACTTTAATATTGTAGATTACTATATTAAGCAATTGAGCCAGTCCACACAATAATTACTCTAACATATCCCTGAGGCCACTGTTACATATATTCATATTCATATTAAACTTCTCCCAAGAAATATCAGGCAACAAACACATGCCTGAGCTTCTTTTAATAGCTTGAGTCGGCTTGTTTTCTCTAAAAATTGTGCATAAATTAAAGGGTTGAAGGCAAACAAGGACAGAAGATCAAATATAGCCGAGGCTGCTTACGCTGTTCACATCCAGCAGGACCAGACTGTCTAAAAATTACTCCAGCAAAACACACTTCACCCGGAGGATAAGCTTAGAAAATCAATTCCTCATTTCTTTTTCTGTCACTTTCAGTTCTTTTTTTCTCAACAAGCTCTTTTAAAAATGAAACCAAGTTCTATGTTACAGAGTGTGTTTTCTACTTGGATAAGCACAAAAGCAACTGCAACTCCCTCTATGATTACCAGTACAGTCTGTAAATATGAGCCGCAAACTGCAGCAAAGGAAAAACTAAAGTATTCTTGTTGTTGCTGCTTTTGTTTTTGGTTCTGTATATTGTTTTACGGATACAAAAAAGATACAAAAAACAAGACATTCATTTTGGCTTTGTATTCATCACAATACAAAAAAAAACAAAAAAAAGAACTCTTCTTGTTGTATTATTATTATATTCATTATTATATTATATTATTATTATCCAGTGTGCGCTACTTTTTAAGACCGTCATATCTGTTGTTAAATGGCCATATGGTTTCTGTACCTTCTCCTGTGGATCGCTGTTACAGTCGAACAGGTGATCAGAGCTTTTTAATTCCAGCTTATTCCAGAAAAGAAATGATTTGTTTAGTGTAGTATCTGTAAAAATATGAATGGAGTCATGAACACAACAGCATCCAGCGCGTCTCTAACTCTCCTCCTCTTCTGTCCACCATCTCCCCTCATTTCTCCTCTCTCACCCTCGCTCACATTCCTCCCTCTCTCCCTACTTCACATGGGCGTCCTCCCGTCTGTGACGGTGACCCTCAGCCCCTCTCCTCCTGTTTCTGGGTGAGTCAGCTCCCTGCACCCCTCCGTCTTGGCCTCCTTCCTCCCTGTCCTCTGCTCCCATCTCTTCCACCACATGGTCTCCATCCTCCTCGTCATCTCCGTCATCCTCCTCACTTCTCTCAGAGTCGGACTCATCTGAGTTGTCCTCCTCAAGGTAGCGGTAGCCTTTGACCTGCAGACACAAATAATATGTTATGTTGGTGACTGAGACAAAGTGAGGCGCTCTTAAGTTAAACTGTGTTTGGACCAGTTAAATGTTTTACGATAAAGCGCTGAATATATTGTTATGACTTTACTCCTGCATAGCCGATGGATTCCTTCCATAGAGGGCTGGTAGAGTGCAGGGCAAACCACTGTTTACAGTAGTTCAAATCTCACCACACAGCAGACCTCTAAAGATAATTCTTTATTTCTGCATTAGAGAAGAGAGTTTCCTGGAGGGAATAAAACTGTTCACATGCGGGATGAAAAAGCATTGTTCACTCCAGAATAAGGAATAAAAAGTGTGGATATCTAGTGTGCAGTGAGATTTATACTTCTGCAAAGGGTTGGCAGTTCGCCTCCTGAACTGATCGCAGCCTGAGGCAAACCCTCCTTTCACTTCCTGAGTTGTCTGATAGTGTGCCAGATGTTCCTTGGGGCTGACCAGAAGTCAGGAGACCCTTGGGCTAACCAAACCTGAAAAGGCCTCCTTATTAAGCTTGACAGCCTCCTTCACTGCTGGTTTAGACAAGTCATTTTCAGTGTCTGTCTGTGGAAGGTTTCAAGTTTCCACATCACACCTGTGTAAGTTGCATATTTAATATATATATAACTAGATGTGATATGTCACAAAATCCTGCTCCTATGTACAGGTCTTAAAATGAGATTTAAGGTGAGCACAGAGAAAAACAGCCTTCTAGTTTTAAACTCTGCACGGTGAAGGTCATACATCCAAATGATGTAACAATAAGCAACAGTGGAGGGGGGTTTTAATGTCTATGCTTTGCTGCTATAAACGGTTTTTTAACTTCACAGCCACATGAGAACATCAGCAGAAGGTTTTTATAATACCCACAATTTATATATCAAACAAAACGCTCTTTCAGTGTGGCTGCCCATTCATTTTAGGGAAGCTGCTCATTCAGTGTTTGAAGGTTTTATGGCTTACTTGAAATTAAATATATAAAACAAAACTGTTACTCATCTGGCAAAGGATGCTATAATGTTGAAACATAACAGCATATGTGCAGACTAATTCTGGTTGCTTTTTTACATCAAATGGACACCAATATTTGTTTTACCACATTTGGCTACAAAACAAATTGAATCCCTATTTGTTCAAGTAAACTGCAGCACGAATCTGACAGCATGAATCTGCTAAGGTTCAGGCAGTCATTTGTGAGAGTGTCAGACTGTGATTGGTCACCTTGTGCCGGGGCCGAGGGATGCGAGGCAGCCTGAAAGGCACTTTATTGGCAAGCCGGCGCTCCATCAACCAATAACAGTAACAGGCCACCAACAAAGTGAACAACAGGATGGAGAGTTTGGCCTGGGGGAGAGGGACAGAAACAAGCGATGTTTAAAATGTGCTATATTCGAGACACAAACACGCCTTAAACATCGTCTGAACACACACACACACAGTCGTACCCTCATCGGCAGATTGGACCAGAGGTAGACTATGAAGATGGCGATGGCCTGCCACCAGTGATAGATGGTGTAGACAAAGTCCAGACGTTCTTTTTCCTCTGCGTACAGCAGACCGAGCAGAGCTGATACACACACACAGAGAGAGGAGTTCATGCTGAAACACGTGTGAACAAGTTAGTGTAGCATACGCACACACACCACAGCTGTTACTTACTGCTGACCCCGGTCTTGTTCAGGGCAGTGCCCAGTCCCCACAGCACAGAGATCACCAGCAGAGGGCCCAGATACTCTGTTCTGTTAAGATTTTCTTTGTCGTGAACTATAGAAAACGACAGGAGTGCCACCAGCAGCACCGCATGCACAACAGCACCCGCCACCAGACACAGCCAGCGCGGGAGGCGAAGGAGGCAAAGGGAGAGTGAGGAAAAGATGGAGCAGGAGAGACCATAGACGAGTATAAGGAGCCACAGTTTTCTCAGGCCCAAAATGCAGACACCATACGTCTGTGGAGGCAGAGAAAGAGAGAAATTAGATGAAACATATATATATATATTACATACATACTTCATGTCTTTATTACCACAATCTGCCTGCTCCATAATGTGTCCTGTTATTATTATTATTTTGCATTATAAACTATTCAAAGACACAAACCAAATGAAGCAATGCAAGCAAAAGCTACTCCACTGTTCAACAAACGTCATTGACAGCGCAGTACCAGGGAGAATCCGGTGATCGCAAACAGCATTTCAAATCCGCTATAGATGAAGAAGGGGCAGAGCAGTCGCAGGCGGTAGTCTCTCAGGTGTTTGAAAGGCAGCTGGAAAATGTTTCCCCAGCCGATACTGCGAAGGTCGATCTCTTCTGTCGGGCGGTAGGCAGCACCACACAGCACAAGGAACTGTGGGTTTAGAAAATGAATGGAAATGAATTATATATTGAAATTACTTTGTGGATAATAAAGACTCTTACTCAATTTAAAGTTAACATCTGAAAGCTGCTCTAATCAATACTTACTACAATACTACACTGGAGATTACACTACAATGTAATCTCCAGTACAAACAACAGCTCTGCCACATATTCTACCAGACTTATAGCAGCCAGCTTTTGTTGAAGTTGTAATTCATTACTGAGGTCAGAGTAAGCGGTGGTGTTGTCCGGTTCCACTGCAAACTATAACCTAAATGGTAAACATATAGTTAAATTAATATATTTCTGACTGTCGATCAAAACGGAGCATTATTATATTTGTAAAGGTAGAATTTGAGTTATTCAATTGGATTGCATTCAATTTTACAGGTGTACATAAAAAGTAGCAGCTGGGTGTGTATATGTTTGCTGTGCTGCCCCCAACTGGCGAACATTGATTAACTAATTTTAACAGATCTGACATACCAGCAGGCCCCAGATCTTTAAACTACATTTTTAAACAGGGACTCTCCTCGAGACAGCAGGACCTATTTAAGTTCCCAAAACAGGCACCAGACGATCATATTCGTACATAACAAACTCACTGAATTCTAGGGAGTCAGAGGTGAGTGTGTCTGCGTGTGTGTGTATGTGTGTGTGAGGGAAGTTCGATCTTACAATAATCATGGCGAGGAAGGCGAAGCCCATGAGGACACTCTCCACTTGGATAAGCAGCATGGAGCGAGGCAGGTTGATCAGCACGGTGGTGTTGAAGCCGGGGATCACTCCGGTGACCGTTGCTCCTGGCAGAGGAAGAGGAAGGTTCAGCCATTAGAAAGGAGGTGATGAGAAGCAACCAACAGGTTTCAGTCCTGTCTGTTCAACACACGAGACTGCATCTCTGCCACGAACACATGTCTACATTATAAAAAGTGGAAGGGATAACTAGCAGAGCAGCTAGGATCTTTGTGTGATCATGGTTTTGTATTTTGAAGAGGTCGTCTGTGAGGCACACGATGGTGTGAACCGCTCTACAGTCCTGTTCTTCCTATTGTTGTTTATAATAAAAAGGAAGCTGTGGGCAGAAGTGCAGAAGTTAAGCACACCAAGAAAAACATTTTAGCTTTAGCAGAAGTGTTCACTCGTTTCACAGCAGGAGGGAAACTTGCTTCCTTTCACAGCGGACGAAAGGCATATGCTCACCTAGCGCATGTGCTTCTACTTCATGCAAACCTATGAGACTGGTTTTTTGTTAAGCAGTCTAGGACAAACTATGGGAAAAAAGAAGACACAGACCGAGGGGCCCTTTTTCTAGGGTAGGAGTGTACACTGAATTTATCAGAGCTTTCTTTGTTGAAAATAGTTCTCTGTTTGGCTAAAACAAAAGCTGATAAGAGCAGAGTCTGTGGAACATACACAACAACAATAATCAGTGAAAGGATGCTGAAGGACTCCACAAAGCCAAGGGGAAAATTTAGTTGAGAGGATCAATATCACGCTCATGTCTGTATGGTAAATATGTAGCTGGAGCCAGACGCCATTTAGCTTAGCTTAGCATTAAGAAAGGGTTTTATAGTGTCAGAGGTGCTGGTAGTTGGATTTTGTTACCTTTGCACAGAGCCAGGCTAGCTGTTTCCCCCTCTGTACAGTCTTTGTGCAAAGCTAACCTTACCGGCTGCTGGCTATAGCTTCATATTTACCGCACAGACATGAGAAGGGTGTCAATCTTCTCATCTCACTCTTGGAAAGAAGCATAATAAGTATTTCCCAAAGTGTCAAACTATAGCTTTGTATATCTCATTGGATGGGATGGCCTGACTCGTTTTACACAGTCTGTAATCATCCATCAGTGGAGCTGAAGCAGCAGTTGTCTTTACCACAGGCTTTGACGTTGCAGAGAACGTGTTCGTTGTAATGCAGGTAGCTGTTGAGGACGAAAATCATGGGGAACTCCGCGAAGACAAAGCTCAGCTGATGAGGAAGAGAGAGATGGCTAATTTGTTTCTGCAGCTGTACAAACTTCTTTTCCAGTGTTAAACACAACATGAAGTCAGCTGAAGCATTAGTGAACAAAAGACTCACATGGAAGATGATGTTGAAGACTGACTGGAAGACGATGATGTAGCTGTGGCACGCTCCCTTAGGAAGCTTCTTTTGCTCCTGCACGTGCTCTTCCTTGTAGTTGGCGTACTCGTAGTACTGCTGCGCCATCCTGCACGTGTTTGTGCGAGAGCAGATGAGTGGCGTGGGAGGAGAGATTAACAGAAAACAGAGACACATTCATTAAAAAAAGCATACTCATTGTGTACAAACAATTTGATTTAATTGAGAAAAGAGATCCTTAGAATGTGCCTTATTTTTCATTTTTGTTTGTTTTTTTCCTGCCTCCGACTTCATAAAAGAACTGTACTTGAGACATTGAAATAAAAAACAATAAATTTGGCCTGGGGGAATTGGGTTTCTCACCAGCATGGTATCGCACACAAAAAAAACAATGCTTTAGAAAATAACAAAAACAAAGTGCTGACAAAAAATATCTCAGCTTGACAACAACAGACAGTACTGCACAGACCAACAGAATTTCAACAAAAAAAGTGCCCTTTCAAACTGTCCTTTGAGCCTTACACTGACTGAAACAATATGGGGTATTGTTATTATTACACCTCTGTGAACAGACGTGAAAACACTCAAAGTGGTTTATCATCCTTTTTTAGAAATTCAATGCTGCTGACACAATAATACTCGGAAACATTTCACTTCAATTGAGGATTTTAAAAGGCTATACTAGAGTATATTCAGGTCCACATGTTTTTGCTTTCTTAATGTGAAACTAATGTCTAACTCGTGTGGGACACTTCCGTATATGTGCATGCTTAAACTGTATATTTTTATTCTTGTTAGACATCTCTCATGAAAAAGAGATTATGAAGGGTTAAACAAAAAATACTTATTTTACTTACTTAATAAATCACAATTTGTGCCCCATCAAAGGAGGAGTATATGTAGTACAGCACAGGCTAGAGTGTATCATCTTATTTTTTAATGGGTGATGTCTTTAAAAGGTATTAATCATGGCTCGATTAAGGACCACTGGCTATTTTTTAACCCATTTGAAACATGTCAGCCTTGTGGCTATGATATTACCTTATATATATATATAACAAATTGAAGTACAAGAAAGCCAAAGACATGTTTCAAGTAATTTAGAAACAGTGTCTCCATTCAAGGCTCCAGGGGTCCCAAAAGCTCCTGAATTACCGTGTATCAACTTGTTTATGTTAATAAAAGCGAATCACTTGACTTTAACTTTTAAAGCCTTGATGGTTGTTAGAAAAACTCAACATTAATGTAATGTTTAGATTTGACAGTGACGGTGGTTATAAAGTTATAGATTTAAGCACTGGATTACAGCATGTAATGTAATGTAATGAGAAACAGTTAAAGAAGTGTAGTTGAAATGTAAATGTAATTTTGGTGGGGTGATCTGAGACAATAGTCATCTTCTCAGATCCTCCGTTAACTACAGTGGTGGACCATCAGTACGCTCTGTGTGACGTAGTCATGTCTCTCTTCTGACCTTGTAATATAATTTCCCAAGGAGGCCCAGAGCGGCACAATGGCCACACCGATTGCTACAGCTGAGGGAACCAAGGTGTAGTATCGCTCCCAGTAATTGGTTGAGACGAAGAGTGCGTAGATTCCTGAAGCCAGGAACATCATCCACTTAGTACCTAGAAACCTGCCAGAGAGATAGATATATATAGTTGTATAGGGAGAGCGAACGACATTCAAATAAAAAAAGAAAGGTTTTATCATTTGTGTGTGTCTACCTGATGAGTATGGGGGTGTACAGCAGGCCTATGATGGGCGTGACGTTGATGCCCATTAGCATCTTGCGGTCGATGTCCTCCAGGCCAAGGTTGCTGTACTTTACCTCACGGTATGTCATATCATAATGGAGGATGAGCTGCATCTGCAGTAGGCCTGTAGCGCACACACAAACACACACACAAATATACACACACATTTCAAATAACAGATCTCTGTACTCTACATGTCTGTGTGTTTCTTTGTCCATATCAATGTATTTTCTCCAATCAAACTCACCCATGTACACACTATATACAATCATCGCTCCAAAACTGGCTGCGAGAACATTCTTGATGACTCCCAGCCTCTTCCTCCTGTAGTACTTCCTCTCCTCCTCCTCCTCGTTGTACTCTGCCTGCGGGCCAAGAAACTCCTCCATCTAAGGAAAGTAGGGAAACAAATAGTTGTGCAACTGTCTGATAAGAGCAAAGGTTGAGGAATTTTATCACACTCATAGAGAAGCATGTTGTTTTGCACTAGAAACTTGAGAATCACAGGTTAGAAGGTGTTTCACCAGACAGCAGGGAGCTCACCTGGCCCTGCATGTTGTCTTCTTGCTCCACATTCAGTAGTTCATTTACCACGCCATTGGGAGGCGCTACAACCTGATCATCCCCAAACAAATCTTCTCTTTCAGATGCCTCCATCTAGTGACCAAAAGGAGCAGCACACTGGATTAATAGACGGCTCACTGCATTCATCCAAACCAATCACTCACTTTTTGTTTTGTGATTCTCTAATCTCTAATCTCACTCTGTACAAACTAATGACACTACATTTTAGATGCTTTTTCACGAGCTTCAAAAAATCATTACAGTTTTATTAGATAAAATCTCAGGCTGGATAAATCAGAATAATTACACCTGAAAGTTATTAACATTAGCATTTAACCTATTTTACACTTGCTCAATCTCTTTAACTACGTAACTACGAGCTGGCAAATATAATAATAGGAAGGCAACTGAAAATTTGAAGTGTTTAAATGCAAAAAATATACATACTACACTTTTGGTGATTTAATATTTGTGTTGCATTTGATGATTTTTATTGAGCTTTTGTCCTGTTTTTAAGCACTTTAAAGCTATCTAATTCTATGTTTAGTATGAATAGTAGAATGTATATGTGTATCCTCTGTTAAAAACATTTGGGTTTCTGGATGAAGGCAAACATCACATTCACAGTGAAAGGATAGTGTAGGTAAGGGACTGTATGAAAATGATTGAGGGGACAGATGTTGAGTCTTCTAAAGGGCAGACCCTCCCCAGAGTTGGGATCCACTCCTTCACTTCACACTATCTCAAAAAAGTACATTCATGGCAAATATAACAACATGGGGGGAAATGCAGGCACTTCCTATTTTTAATAAGAAATTAAATAAACTGTTATTACAGCTGAACTGGGAACAGGCAATATTTTCACACCAGCCCATATCCATGGTACGCAAACACCATCTTTTTGATGTAACTATTTAATCTGTTTATATATTTTAAAACATATTAAATAAATTAGACATATGGGCAAAGAAAAAAAAATAGCTTTAGGACTACCTTTTTTTTCTTCTGCAAAAATAAACTTTTGTATGGTCCCTAACCTGGTCAAAGTTCTTTTAGTATCCCCGAACTGTTAGCGTTATATACAGGTTTATCTATGTAATTGACTGTATATATTAATGTTCTGAAGAGTCTTTACCATTCATTTTAACTCGACAACCATGACCTAACGTTACATTGTTAGAAAAGAGGATGTGGTCCTAAGCATGTCCTCAAAAGTGTTTTAACAGTATGCCACAAACACAGTACTAGTTGTAGGCATTCATAGATGTAAGCTACATGACCGTATAAACCACGGTAAAGGTTCATTATTGACTGTTTCTCTCACAGTATTTAATATATTCTAGATAGTTGGACGTTTGTTTGTCCTCTTTCCCCTCTGTATGGCCTTTAAAGCTTATACTCCTATCCGACTTTAACATATTTCAGGATCCAAGAACTACTCTGACAGCGGGAGTGAGAGGTTTTATTTCACCTTTTAATCAACACCTTGAAAATGACTCACCATGCTTCTCGCGCGTTGCTCCTCGCGGGCTTCCAGTTAGTCCACCTGAGACAGAAACACCTGTGTCTCTGTCCCACCGGTGCTACTGTTCGTCTCTGCCGCTTTTAGTTCTCCTTTCCGACGTAGAACGTGCACGTATAAATAAAAGTTTCGCGAAGGAAACGAAAGTCAGTAGTCTTCACTTCCTCACCCAGTCTGCCTCAGTTTGTCTTAAAGGCACAGACACTTGTTTATTGAACCCTGCCTCCTCTCGGCCAGTTAGGGCGCCATTACAACCACAGTGAACAAGTGTGTGTGGGACAGAATAAAACTGTAGTACCCTCCAAAGCACTGATGTTAAAATAAGGATGTTTTATTAGTGATTTAGAACAATGAAACACTGTGCAGCTTCTCCAATATGCAGGTAAAAAGCTGACACAGTGGTTAGCACAGAAAAAAAAAAATAAGTTTCACAGTCAAAAAAAAACAAACATGGTCCACTGACATACTGCACAACAGTCTACATACACACGACAAATGAGCAAAGTTCAGTCCATCTTCAACACAGGTCCATCATGTAACCAGAGTGGCCTGGCGGGCAGTCTGTATCCGAGCGGTTACAGACAGAAGCCACCGCGGCATCGTCCAGGGCTGAAAAAGAGTAAACTATGCATAGTATCCTGTATAATACTGCTATACATAATTCAGTGCATACCCCGATACATTTGATTGACTGGATTTCAAGGTTTTATACAGATCTGACACTACTTTGTCTGCATGACAGACAACTTCTCTACATGAACTTTATGTTGTGTTGCAACCTTACGTAGGAGGGCCCAAAAAAAACCCAACAAATCAAAGGGAGCAAAGAATAAATGCAAATCATTCTTAGTGTTTGTTTTAACCTGCCCTAAGTACCAGACGGTTGGAAGCATGACGCTTTAAAGTATTTCTTTCGTTCTTGCACTCCAAGCAGCTGAAAACAATCACACAGTTTGACTTTAAAATAACATTAGATGTCCGTTTCCAGTCGAGTTTCAGGTGACTTCTTGAGGACCAGGCCAAGCTGAATGGAAAAAATAATCTGGCACATCCGGAGAGGCTGGAAGTTGTCCTCGTGCTGTCCCTCCACTAGGTGCTCTGGTGATCCCCCCCAGCCCCGTCCTACGTCTCGTCCTCTGCTGCAGCAGAGGAAGCAGTGTCCCTCAGTGGAACCTCAACAGCATTAACTCAACTTTTTATTTTCCCCAACAAACCCACCCGCTCATTAAAAACACAAGTCTCGCATCTTAGAGAAACCAGACATGCCGACCCCGTCCCATAACCTTGTAATCCCCCACAATGCTCCACTTCGTTCCCTTCATCAGCGTCTCTATCCGCTCCCTACAGCTGCCTTCCTCATCACTTCCTCATCCTGGACGGAGAGCTCTGTCAGCTTGCGTCCCAGCCTCTCGTGAAGGTCCAGGTATTTGGCCACGCAGCGGTCCAGGCACACCGACTCGCCCTTTGTCAGCTCAGCCTCCTTGTAATGTGGCGGTACACACTTCCTGTGGCAGGCGTTGGTCATTCTGGGAGGAAAGGAAGCCAGGACACAGTCAGAACATTGTGTGTAATTATGCCACTTGGTAAAACTGCACAGCTTTATCGGCTGGAATCACTACAGAGTGAGAAGATTAGAGCCGGAATTATTATTCAGTGATGATTATTCAATTATTTCTCTTTTTTTATTAAACAATTATTCGTTTGTTTAAAGGGTCAGGTTGTGATGGACCGTCTCAATGTTTTAAGTTTTTTAAACCAAACAAAACCAAAATATGTTTAATTAACCAACTTATAGGACAAGGAGAAGCTGGAACCATTAAATGTTAGAAAGTTCTGCTTGAATTAAAAGAAGACTTCACAATTTATAGTTTCGTTATTTATTTCTTGACTTCACAGGGACAATAATCAGAAATAAGGAGTGAATTATTAATGTGTATGCCTGCAAATAGAAATTAAAGCTGCAGTCTGTAACTTTTACAAAAACAACTTTTTTTATTTGCTGAAACTGTCCTGACAGTAGTACATGAGACAGATCATCTGTGAAAAAAATGATCTTCTGGCTCCTCCTAATGCTCCTAATGGCATTTGCAAAAATCGACCGGGCCTGAACGGAAAAAAATAAATAAAAAAAACAATCGGACCCAAGGAAAATAGGAAAACCCTTTTGGTTGGTGGCTTGAAGATAATTGATTGTTGAGCACTAGGAGGAGGCAGAGGAACCTAAACAATTCAGATTATCTGTCTCATATACTACTATATAGCGAAAGTTTAAGCACATTTTTATGAAAGTTACCTACTGCAGCCTCAACAATCACTCTGTTCGATTCTAGTGTAACTGAACCACACCACTTCAGCAGAAATGACCTAGAGTATATGAGAATGGGCCTTCTTTGGGCCCCAAAGAATCTCATTTTGACACGTCATGGCAGGCAAAACACGAGTGTTACTAATATCATTAATGATGTTACTTTACATTAGACAGTTCCAGGGCTCTGGTGTTGTACATGCTAGCTCACTGACCACGATTAAACACAGCCATCATCAATATTAACGTCTGTGCTCTTCTTGCTATGACAAGTCATCATTTCTGATGTGACAAAATATATGAATTCACCTCAAGCTGAAGCTCTAAGGCTGTTGTTCTGTCCCTCTTTCACATCCACAATTGCCCACATCCTTGGACACTGGAGTTCCCCTGAACTCAGTTCTTAGTCCAACTTGCTGTTTTAATCATCTTCTAATCTCCATCCCCAGCTCATCTTTAAGGCTGTAGCCACTTTATGTTAAAACTCCCCAAGTTCTACCACGTCAGCTCTTCACCTGTACTCTCTAGTGGCTACCCATATTACTGTAAAACCTTTGGCCTTAATACACAAGCCAGTCTTGCTCTCCTTTTCTCTGAAACAGTCCTCAAGATGCAAGGAAGTGAAGTTAACTAAACTCTGGTCAGAGTAATCGTTAAGTGGTCAACACTTATTGCATAGATATGGAGAGATCAGACCCAAGAAAAATAGAAAAACATGGATTGTCTCATTCCCAGCATCGGTATTTGATGACGTGGGAATCAACTCTCTTTTTTTAGCTTTTTCTATCTGCCAACTCAATGTATTCACAATGTGTGATCATGTGGATGAGTCATCTGTTAGTCAGTGTGCATGCAATAAGTGAGCATTTTGTATTCACTCCAGCATTAACAGGCTGTTATTAGTAGCTAAGTCTGACCAGATTTAATTCATATATAACTTTCTGTACAGGAAACATTTAAAGTCCCTCCTGCTGTAGAAAATGGAAGGACATGTATTAACCTTTTAGGCCAAAGTATATTTTGAATATGTTCCCACTACACCCGTGTCTCATCAGCCATTGTGACATGAAATAGTAGGTAATCACAGGTGCTACCAATAACACTAGTTAGGGTTCAGTTCCGTTTAGTGCAGCAGCCTTTCCAGTGAGCCAACGTGCACAGCAGCAGCACCCTGACATCCTGAACGGAACCATAAAGTGAATCCCTAATGTCCTCATCCATAAACTCAACCTGCACTGTGCTATCGTACTGAAAAGCTAACATTATTATTGGCTGCGAGTCACTAACTCAATTTAAGGTCATGTGTTGCTGTAATTGAAGCGGATACATTCTGACAAACACACTGAACAGAACTACTCAGCACTGTTACTGGTGGCTTGTACAGTCCTGTAGGAAAATGTAGCTTTATGTACAGTCGGCCCGACTGAGTATCTCTGACATACATGTAGCTACAGTCATTTGACTCACAGGGTGCAGGTAGCATCACAGCAGCTAGTCTTCACTGAGCGTAGATAACCTTAAGACAGCCCTTTGTCACCGTGTAACGACAGGTTTCATAAGTACTATGAATGAAGGCCAGGGGACGGTTAGTACTGACAGAGAGGTAGCTTAATGGTTAGCTTGTTTTGGCTTTACCGGTTGTACATGTCTGCCATCATTTCCACCTCCAGCTCCGCCGCCAGCTGCTGTGCCTTCATGGGATCCATGTCTCCGCTTCAGTGTGGCTTACTCCCGGCTCTGACTGCAAACACGCCGTCCTGACTCTCTCCAGCGGATAGCCGACAAGAAACCAACCCGCTGCTTCTTCTTTAACCTTCAAATCTCCAACACAGCACGTGTGTACCGCTTCCGGTGGCGCTTCTGCTGTCAATAAAGTTGGATTCAAACGGAGGGCAGAGACAGTGCGCCCTCTCCCGGCCTCTGTGTGGTTGAGCAATGACAGTATATATATACGGATGTGAGGTGAAAAAAAAAACCCTTGCATGAAAAGACAGACTATTTTTTTAATAAACAATAACTGTTAATTATGTAATTTACATTAAACACACGTTGCTTTACAAATACTGGCTCAAAATAAGGTTTCTGTTTTTTTTTACAATAGTTACTTAGAGACACAATACCACTGAAGTGCTTTTACCTTAATCAGTCTGAAGATTCAAATTTCAGAGATATTGATAAATATAAATTGTTAATGTAAACAACACTAAGAACTTTTTGTCTGTTGTATCAATGCTTGAGCATATTATTCATGGGAATTAAACATCCATTTTAAACCTTGCATATGGAACTAAATGAAGCTCAAAACCAGCACGCAGCCTGTGATTCTTGCATGTACAAAGCTTGTGATCGACGGACACAGACTGATGGTGAAAACAGAAAAAGGACATAAAAATCTATTATACATAGTTTGACAGCAAAATGGACTTCATCTGGCACTGTGTGAACATACATAATACCAGAATAGAGAGAAAACTGGGCTTGGCACATCAAAGTGCCGCTGAACTAGTCACACAACACAGTAAAAACTATGCACACGTACAAAGGTCACTCTGCCTCATCTCCGGTCACATCGATCTCGTTCACATCTTCCTCCTCTTCTTCCTCTGGACTGATGTTCATGTTGTCCAGTCTGTTCTCACACTCTCTGGACTGAGCCACTTTGTCTGGGGAGTAAAGCAGAACATCCACCTCCACTTCCTCCTCCTCTTCTTCTTGATTGCAGCCTGACCCAACAGCACCTGACAAAGGATCAGTTCTCTCTGGGGTCTGGGGATTCAAGGTGCTATCCAAAGGCATTTTGTCTTCTTGAGGCGCTGTGTGGGTGTCACTGTGAGATGAGCCTTCATCATTGATGGTAGTCTGTTGCGTTGTATCTGACCCTCCTGCATCACTGGCTTTTAGTGCTAAAAAAAAAAAAAGGAAGGAAGATGGATCATACAAAGTAGGCGGGACATTGTTTTTGGAAATGTATGTTGCTTTTGAGAAGGCCTTTTTACTTTTGTTCTTGGAGCACCATAGACAATAACAATTCATCTTACGTAAGTACTTTACTTGGACTTTCCATTTTATGCTACTGTACACTTCTACTCCACTGCAATTCAGAGGGGAACCTTGTACCACTACAATTATATGACAACTTGAGTTACAAGTTACTTTACATAGATTAAGATTTTACATAAAACGTGTGGTAAGGTTTTAAAATAGGGAGCACTGATTAAACCTGCAAGCAGTTTCCAACCTTCTAGGCTTGTGGTCCTTTACAAAAAAAAGCAGTGTGTGGTTGAGCTGTTTTCAGATTCAGAAGGTGCTTTTCATTACGCTAACTTATGCTTCCTTGCATCCTCTCTCCTTATACGACCCGGAAATCCTTTCCCCTCCGCCATCATGGAGGATCTTCCAATTCCTTAAATACACCTGGAGGAGACGAGGAGAGAGGAGGCTTGTGGAGGAGCTGGGAGTGAGGAAACACCAATGTATTTTACA